GAAAAAACTGTGTGTAATCAAATTTTTGCCAAGTGTTAAGCAGTAAGATCCTGAAAATTACTCGCGTAGTAACTTTCAGATTTGGAGGAATTCCATTCCTCAATCATACACTCCGAGAAGACGTGGATTTGTGGAAGGTGATGGGAAAGCTTGAGCAGGAGCACGCAATGGGAACGCTCCTGGGAGCAATGGTTTCGATCGATTTCAAGGATGTCTCGAAAAACTCTTTGTACCTCTCACAGGTAAACATAGTAGCTGAATGGCGATGCAAGGTTTTGGTAGTATCATAGCAATAATTTAACTTTAATAGAACTTTTTATTAGCCAATTCTTCCAATTGCTCGAGATTTCTACGTTCTACCACAATTCAATAACATATTGGACGAGCGCGTCAAAACAATCAACAATATATTGGTTGCATTTGCAGAAACAGTTTTAGTAGATTGTTCACCGTATCTCAATCTAATAAAACAGGTAAAATAAGAAATATTTTCAATCTTAACACGAGCATTTGAAGACATCTAAGTTAAAATACTTCAGACAGCAAAAGCTGTGGTAAAGTTTGAAGTGCAGATTGCAATGGCATCCTGGCCAGACAGTGCAATGAGGTTAGCTTTTAATGTCAGAACATTCTTTTTCTAATGGTTCGTTTGAAGAAATTATGCACAACAATACAATCCGTACACTCTGGATGAGCTTAAAAAAGCATATCCATCTATCAACTGGACAAGCTACTTCGACGCTTTACTATCATCCGTAGATAAACACGATATCGACAAGAAGAATGTGGGCGGCGATGTTGATAATGTATCCATAAATGGTTTCATCTGTTAGTATGCAGATTATTTTAGATCATTATCACTCAACCATCATACTTTGCTTGGCTTAACACTCTTTTCACGGAAGGGCATGACAAAAACCTTATCGCTAATTATCTCCTAATGAACATGATTTTCGTAAGTTTTTGGAAATGGTATCATCGTATGCGAATATGTGTAACATTTGTAGGAGGAATCTGATTTTCTCGGCGGTAAATTCCAAAGCCATACCAAGAAGGTTGGGTACGTGAAATACGCTTTGAGAAGAGGAAAAGGGGTTGCGAGGTAAACATAAGTCATTTTTGGCCTTCAAGTCCGAGCTGCACGGGACGGCTCATCGAATAATTTTCATCAGATGTCCGCAATATGATGCTTTTTATGATTCTTCAAATTTCTGCTTTTGTAGAGTTGGCGCACAACCGTTCCATCGGGCCCGCAACACTGTTGATGATCCGAACATAGAATGCTTGAACATGATGATGATTTACATGCCATTTGGACCAGGTGAGCAAGTCATATTCTTTTACACTCCAGGTAAATCCTTTACCTTACCAATCAATGTAATTATGAGGATTTCCTTATCAGTTTTATGACGTCTAAAATAGAAGTTCACATGAAAGTTTTACAAATAATCTGACAAATCTCACTGAGAAAGATGGTAAATTTGGGAAATAGAAAAAAAGCCATATTTCTCGAAAATTATTGCAGACGAAATACTCTAAAATTTTAGAACATTTGTTTCTAGGTTATGTCTACGTGAAATCTCAGGAGAATCGTGAAAAGGTGGCAGAGGATGTTAAGAACCAGACTGAACTCGTCTTTAAACATTTCACAGTGAGTGACCGATGTTCGCTATCACAACAAATTACTCACTTATTTCAACAGCTACAACACGAGCGTGTTTGCATTTTAATAGCGAGTGAGCTACCGCATAATTCAGCTGAAAAATAAGAATGTAATGAATATAAAATTTAAACATAGAGTGTCTTTAAAAATTTTGCTAAATTAAATTAAAATTTCCTATGGGGCCACATTCAAGCGTGTTTTCATCTGTATTATTCAGGTTCCAGAGCAATGCAAAAACAAAATTTAGAAGCAAAAAAGATTAAATCAAACTTTGTTTTATAGCAGATAACATCACAATGTGTCATTACAGGCTATGATGAAGAAGTTGCCTTGGATGTCGAAGAAATCTCTAGAATTGGCTGAATACAAAGGTAAGTTGTAGAAGTTGTTGCTTCCGCCAGTCTCTTAAGTTATTTCGTGTCTAGCCGGAAATATGACCAAAATCTATGGTTGGCCTAGGGACTTATTCGGTGACTTCAAAAATAGCACAATCATCGACAACTATCACAAGGTATATCGGTGATTTGAATATGTGTCTAACGTTTTAAAGAAATGACTATTACAGGACTACCATGAAATACTAGAATTTTTCCAAAAAAACA